ATGCAGAGCGTTATGATGTGGTCGGTGTGGTTGAAACTAGACTAGATGCTCGAATGCTTTCTGTTAATTTGAATATATCAGGTTATGATCTTGTAAGAATGGATCGTAACAGTCGAGGAGGAGGTGTTGCAGCTTACGTAAGTAATAAGTTAAAGTATATAAATTTGGGCGGTTCGTGTGCTGATGATCTTGAACAATTATGGATAAAAGTATACCTCTCAAAATGTACTTGTATAATTGGTACCCTTTATAGACCTCCGCGTACCCTAAAAGAAAATTATTCAAATTTTTTAAACTTTTTTGTTCTACCAATGCCAAAGAAGTCACATCCCTTAGAGCTTAGCGATTTGCGTCCGATAAGCATTTTACCAACGCTTTCTAAGTGCTTGGAAAAGATAATGAATGCTCAAATTAAAGTATATCTAGATAGAAATGTTTTACTTCCGAAGAGGCAATCTGGTTTCAGACAGGGATATAGTTGCACAACTTCTTTACTTGATGTTGTGGATGATGTTCTTAGAATGACAGATATTGGAAAAACAACAGTCTTAAGCCGGAGTCTCATGCATCCGAAATCCGATGACACGACGATCCGACGGTGCTCCTATTGGTCGAAATATTTTGACAACAATTTTTATCCGATAATTTTAACTAATCATCCGACGTCGTATAAAGTTAAATTTTGTTTAACTTTTGTACGATATCGTGTGTTTTTTAACCTCACTTTTTTTTAAAACATTTGTTTTTAAAAACAAGTTTAGTGGGAAGTGGGCAATTTCGGGATATTTGGCGAGGAAGTTATTTTTATAAGTGTTTTTCCAATAAAACATGACATGAATCTCTATTCAGCGCAGCAGAAAAATGTTAAAACTGTCAAATTTTGGAACGAACTTTCGGATGTATGTGACAGGCTTTTTTTATTTCACACGATAACTTCAAATTTCGGATGTCGTACCATCGGATTTCGGATGCATGAGACTCCGGCTTTTTTTACTGGATTATACAAAGGCATTTGACACCATTTGTCATAAACTACTTTTGGCAATATTATCCTATACAGGTTTTTCCGCGGACGCGGTTGCAATGATTCATAGCTATTTGTCTAATAGATATCAAATTCATACGGAAAACAGGCAATCTACTAAAAATAAAATTCTGAGAGGTGTGCCTCAAGGAACCATATTGGGCCCATTACTTTTTAATATTTATGCAGCACAAGTTTCTACGGAAGTGGTTACATCTAAAACATACTTTTACGCAGACGACACACAGTTAAGTTATTCATTCTATCCTAATGACATATATAATGCTAATAAAGTCTTAAATAGTGATATAGATAAATTGGTTAAAGCTTCCAGTAAACATGACTTAATTATTAATCCTAATAAATCTTCAGTGTTAATTTTTGGTTATAAACGCCAAGAAGTACAAAGTAAATTAAAGATAATGGTTGACAATAAAGAATTAAGTGCTGTGTCGTGTGCTAAGAAACTGGGAGTTGAACTGGATGTGGATCTTAGATTTAAAAAACATACTGCAAAGCTACTTCAGAGAGCATATTGTAACCTTAAGATGCTTTATCCCCATCGTAAAATACTTGATATACCAACTAAAATAAAATTACCGATACATTAGTTCTTAGTCATTTTAATTATTGTGATGTATTGTATGGGCCTTGTTTAGACGTTAGAGATACCGCCAGAATAGAAAAAGTTCAGAAATCTTGTTTGCCTTATATATATGGTATTCGGAAATATGATAGAATATCTCATAAACTTAAGGAGGCAAAATGGATGAACATGGCAACTAGGCGTAGACTGCACTCTCTGACTCTGTTCCATTCAATTATAATAAATAAAAGACCACCTTACCTTTATGAAAAAATACAGTTTCGTACTGATATTCACAATTTGAATTTAAGGCACAGGGGTCTCATTTCACCCACTCCGCACCGATCTGCATTGTTTGAACGATCTTTTACATTTAATATTTATAGTATGTACAACAATTTAGATGTTAAGTGTAAGAACTCCTCTTTGGGTGAATTTAAGATAAAAGCAAGAAAAATACTTTCTGAATATTGATTAGGTTGCATGTTGCGTGTAGGTGCTGTTTTCTATCTGATTTTTGTGGGAAATTTTAGATTGCCTTTAGTTGTTTTGTTTTTATTATATTTAAATTATTATTTTTTATATTACTTTTTTTTTAACTTTGAGGCTGGAACTTGATCAGCAACTGTTGTTTTTCCAGCCTTTTTGTAGTTTGTAAGATTATATTGTTGTTTTTTGTATGATAATGTTTTTTAAACTCATCTGTATAAATTTGTTGCATTGTATATATACAAACTTCAATAAATATATTATTATTATTATTATTATTATTTATTTTTCATATCAACATACATAGGTCTGATTCTGCCTTGTTTCGTAGCTACAGGGTGTTAAAGTCTTTCGCTTTTTTATAATTTTCTACCAAATACTTTTAGTGATTGGAGTGAAATTTTGAGGGTAAAAGTTACTATAAGTGCTACATATTTTAATGCTAAAAAGTGGAGATAAATTCGCCAGGGACGTGCATATGGGTTATCACTGCAATGTTTTTCAAAAAACATGTGCGCTACTGACTTTTTTTCTTTTGATATCAAAATTGTGTAGGCCGTTTAATGCCAATTAAAAGTTATCTCTTGATATTTTGTCGAATTCGGCCTTCTTGATGAAATAAACGCAATTTTATTAATCACATTTAATAAAATTAATAAATTATATATTTTAGCTAATTTATTATTAAATATTATTACTATGAGTTATAATTACTATTAGTCCAACCTACTGCAATTTCAAATAAAAAAAATAATTGTATTTAAGATAATTACAAAAAACTTAATTTTAAAAAGTTTTAACATCTTGTAACTCCAAAATTATGCATTTCCATACCCATGTTTATAGGAACTTTTTTTCACATTTTTTGATTAGGAGTGAAGGTAGGTACAGGCTCTTAGTAGAGGTACAGGCTCTCGTCCACCAATCTCAAGGTAGTGGGTTCGAATCCTACACCCGGCATTTCATCAGCCCACTATTTTTATAAAAATAGCTTGGGTACCTACGTCGACTCAGCCTTAAATGAGTACTTGGGATTTACAATACTGAGGTAATAATAGGCGGTTGAAGCGTAGTGCTAGCCACATTACCTTCCTTGTATACCGAACGGCTCTAGCATGGCAAGCTGTACCTTGCTACTCCCAAGGCGGTAAACGCTATATACGGGAGCTATTATTATTATTATGATTAGGAATCGATAAATGCTTATTTAAAACTTTCGCGAGTTAATGATATTAATTTTTTTGAAATGTTGCTATTAATTTGGATCCAGGCAAATTAATAAAATTGTGTTTATCTCATCAAGGAAGGCCGAAATGGTCAAAATATTAAGAGACAACTTTTCGGCATTATACTGCCTACATTATTTCGCTAACAAGATAAAAAAAAGTGAGTGGCGTACATACTTTTTTCAGAAAAATATTCCTATGATAACCCATATGCACGTCCCTGGTGAATATGTCGACACTTTTTTAGGATTAAAACATGTCGCATTTATAGTAACTTTTACCCTCAAAATTTCGTTCAAAACGCTAAAAGTACTTGGAAGAAAGTTATAATAAATCGAAAAAATATTAAGATTTTAACACCCTGTAGCTACGAAACAAAGCAGAATCGGATCTATGTTGATATAAAAAATAAATCTTATTTTTACGTAAGAAATCTTCCCACGAGAGATGGCACATGTTTTTTTTTAAACACCCTGTATAATTGTCTATTAAAACTCACCGTTATTTTTCTCCTAGAACCCGAAAATCAATTAATATATATAGAGATAGGGTGTTCCATTTGGTATACTGATGCTTCCAAAACCAATACGGGAACAGGGATTGGAGTGTTTGGGCCGAGAGCTAATTACTCCGAACCAATGGGCACTTACCCTAGTATCCTACAGGCAGAAATCTACGCTATCGAGAGATGCGTACAACTTATCTTAGATAGGAACTATCGGAAACAAGAAATAGCCATTTTATCTGATAGTCAAGCAGCGTTAAAGGCGATCAACTCAGTATCAATCAATTCGAAATTGGTCAAAGAATGCATAGAGAAGCTGAATAAATTAGGCAAAGAAAACAAAGTCCTCCTACACTGGGTGCCTGCTCACCAAGGGATAGAAGGCAATGAAAAAGCAAATAATCTAGCTAGGAAAGGAGCGAACACTCCACTAACTGGACCAGAACCGTTCTGCTTTCCAAGTGGTAACCAACTCAAGGCGGAACTCAAGAACTTGGAAGATTCCATCCGCAACCTGGAATGGAAATCTTGCAATGGTCTAAGACACTCGAAGAAGTTTCTGAGGGCTTATGATCAAGAAAAATCACAGATCTTCCTGGGTCTGAGTAAGAACAATCTTCGGATTGTCACGAGGTTTTTAACAGGACACTGTCCCCTCAATGAACACCTCAGTAGATTGAAACTAAGAAGAAACGGCGAATGCAGATTCTGTGGGGAAGATGGTGAAACACCAGTACACCTCATCACTGAGTGCGCCGAGACGACAACCATTCGTGCCATGAATTTTGGTACGACTGATATTGGAGATGGAGAACTACCCTCTATAAAACCGTCCCAGATACTGGCTTTTGTCAAAGCCCTGGGACTGTATGATAAGTTATGATTCAAGAAAGGGGGACACAATGGATCTGTAAGGTCGAAGTGATTAACCCCCCTCCCACTCATTCTAAATTCTAAAAAAAAAAAATTCTAGGGTGTTCCATTAGAAAAAAACACAACTTTGATGTGTAAGTTTTTTTGGGGACACCCTGTAGAACTCTCTATATTTTTAAAAAATACTTTACAATTTAATAAGAATCTACATATGCTCAAAAACAAAATTTCATTTCATTACAAACTGTTGTTCTCCTTGGAGCCTCCATGTCGTATACTTGATAATTTTATATTTAGTCACCACAGTTCAGAGCACAAGGACAAAGAATTGTAATAGATAATGAGGCTGCTGAAGATGTTGATACCAGTCTTTTAGGCACCGACTTTATGTTCTACATTGCATTTTTCGGTAAGTTTCAATAAACCTTTTTTTTTATTTCACAAGTTTAAGATTGTTTGTCACTCATATATGAACATTGAAGTGATATTCTTTTGAAATTTGATTATTATTAATCATTTTATTACATATTTATTTATTAATAAAATAATATGTAGACCTAAAGACATACAGTTAATTTTTAATAAAAATCTAAATCTATTCTAAAAATTTCTAGATACTGTAATCGCAAAACATTTTCCGATGCACGTCATCAGTCATATCGAAATTGACACTAAATCTTATAAACCTGACTAAATCAAATTTGGGCAAAAATCTTCAAATTTGTTGTATAATTTAAGATAGGTAGCTGCTCTTCATTTTATTTTATAGAGCAAATGATTGTAACAGATATTTTATTTAGATTAAAGCTACAAAAATTAGTTTAAACCGAATTTTATTATTGTCATGTTGGTCACATTGCGCCGCGATCGGCAACGTCGGCGTTTATTTGACAATTATCATGTCAGTCATTATTTTGTATAATATCGTGTTGTTGAATTTTTGGGAATAATTCTCCTTTTTTTTGCCGATTTTCGTAGACATTTTTTAAAAATTGTACTTTTAAGCACAAACAGTTATTTTAACTAAATTTTCAAGTTTTTGTATTGCATTTCTTGAAATTGTGTGATGAAAATATGCCAAAGCATTTAAATAGTCGAAGCAAAGAGGTTGTAGCTTTGCTGATAGACTATTTTGAACGAGAACGTGACAATAAAGGTCCTTTATTACCCTTGACTACAGTCAAAGAAGTAAGTTTGATCGGTAAGCACTTTATACCACTGTTAGCTATTTCTACTTATTTCGATTTGTAGCGAGTGCCTTAAATTTAAATATTTCTACTGTGAGTACTGTTAATAAATTAATTAATTACTAAAATATTAATTATTAAATTAAAAATAAAACGTAAAAATCTTTAAAAAATGATATAATAAATATATTGTTTCCCAATTTTACATTAAGATTCATCTCATAAATACGTCACAATCTGGCAGCGCCGCACAGTGGTCATTTTATCTGTTCTAGGTGGACATAAATGTTCTTATTAAATTCCGACAAAGTTATTATTGCATATTAATAGTAAGTATTAGTGAATTCAAATAGTGGCCAATTAAGCACAAATCTAACAGCATTACCAGAAAACAAAAAAATATCCCCAATATACAGGGTGTTTTTTAATATTACCACAAAATTCAGGGACGTGTTCCTTGGATGAAATGAAGCAAAAAAGTTCCTATGAACATAGGTCCGGAAATGCATCGTTTCTTAGATACATGGTGTTGAAAGTAAAAATGTCATATTTGTATATGATTGAAAAAAGGGCTGCTTTTTTTACTCTTTTTTTAGAACATAAATTATTTTCATAATCTCTGACCAGTTTCTAACAAAAACGGCCTCTTGACATTTTTCTGTCCGACGAACGGGTTTTGCGTGAGAAAATAAAATAACAACAATAATTATCTACATTCCTAAAGATGCAGAGGTCATGTAGATAGGATAGGGTTATTTTATTTTTTTACGCAAAAACCTTTTGTCGAACAGAAAATTGTCGAGAGGCCGTTTTTGTTAGAAACTAGTCGGAGATTATGAATATAATTTTTATTCTAGAAAAAGCAGAGGTGTGCCGTTTTTTCGATCGAAAACAAATATGACATTTTTCACTTTCAACATCCTGTATCTAAGAAACGAATCATTTCTGGACATATGTTCATAGGAACATTTTTGCTTCATTTCGTTCAAGGAAAACATCCCTGAATTTTGTCGCAATATTAAAAAAATACCCTGTATACAAACAAACATACATCACTAGATGCATAAATTAAATTTATGTCCTATTTCCAACATGAAAATGTGGGTAGCTTGTTGCTTTTCAATGTCAAGAATTTTAAAAATATTAACGTTTTTTTTTGTTTTTAAAAATATTAACGTCAATAATTTTAAAAATATTAACGTCTTATGAATATTAAGAACTAAATCATCCTTTAGAAAAAGTTTCAAAATTATAAACTAAAACACTACCTAGTCTCGGTTAATACACTATCACTCGTATCCCAACTGGAACAAAAACTTCCATCAGATGTTCTCTCGTCCTGGTCCTTATTAATTCCTCCTTTGAATAATGTTTAAGTAAATGTTGAATCTTCCGTTTCTTACTTTTATTTGTGAGATGTTAAAAAGCTTTTCTTGACCGACCTCGGGAAGTGTCTGTTTGAATTTGAGAACTTGAGGGTGCATTCCTGATGTTATGTATCTCAGAAAAAGAAATAGATGGTTCGAGCCACGTACTGTTCTTCGTTAAAACTGATGTTTAATCCTATGACAGCTTTCCCATTTTTCACTAACTTTATACGAAAATTTTCCAATTTTATTTAGCACCGATAACTCCTCTTTCTCAGATAGATGATCTACACCAAAAACCTCAAGTAGCCATTAAAAAGAGCATATACCTTTTGGATTTTTTCGGGTTCTTGGCACCAAACTTTAAAAAGTGTTCTACGGGTGATCGAACATGTCGCTGAGAACAAAAAAATATTGATAAAACTTGCAAATATATGCAAAATAAGAATATATCACAATTAATATAAAACCCTAAGTATATTTATAAAGCCAGAATCAAAGCGGAAATCCGCGGGAATCGATTTATATAGCTTTTTGAATTTGAAAGAAGAATAAAAATAAATATTTTTGCACGGGCCACAAAACAATTATCTATATTATTAAAACCTTTCAAGTTTGAATGTGTTATATTTTTAATTAATAGTACATACCTTGATCTACACCTTCCATGTTTTAAAATTTTTGAAATTTTTTGAACTAGCGAACACAAGTCAATAAAATTCACTTTATTACTGCTCGGATTTGCAAAGCAGTCCATACCTGTTTTAAATTGCTCGATACAATATTTTTTTCTCAAACATCAACTAATATAGCATTTCTGGTTGTGCATATTTTCTTAGTATGAGTTCTTATCTTTACAATATACATAAACAAATGTATATTAGTACACCTAAGGAAACCGGATTTTTATCCACCTAGATTTCAAAAAATGACTATTGTGCGCCGCCATCATCGCTAGTCACTCAAAGTTGATCACGTGCATCAGAAATTGTTTTGATTACCGTATGCATATGTTATGTATTACAATGTATGTATATACAGGGTGACCCAGTATTCTGAAAAAAAATCCATTCCAGGTTTCTAGTTTTGGATTATTAATTAAATAATATGTAGACGAAAAGACATACAGTTAATTTTTGCTAATATTTTTAGTTGCTTTTATCTTCAACTGGATTGGATTCCTCCTGCTTATGTGTTTTTGTCACACGATTGCATCAAGATATGGGGCTTTATCAGGTTTTGGTTTGTCCCTTGCCAAATGGACATTTATAGTGCAGCATTCCACAGAGTTGGCTTCAAAGGACAACAGTTGGTTGTGGTGGTTAATAATGACTTTTGGTGAGTTTAAATATGTGTAAATATTAGCGATGGGAACTATCGAATGAATTAGGCTATTGAATGGTTACTGAATGAATGATTTCAACTATCGAATGGTTTTATTTGAATAAAATCATTCATCCATTTGTATACTAAAGCATATGTGACAACCTCGCCGTGCGACTAAATGGTTATCGTTGAGCCACGACTATCGAATGCTTTTGATAAATGAAATTTAGTATTCGTTTGATTTTTGTGTGCGTCAGTGCATTATTAGTTCTTCCAAATTTTTATAACTTCGCCTTATAAATACATAATGTATTTACTGTGTAAATACTAGCACCTCAATAAAAAAAATAATGTGTCCTTATCTTTATATGACTCCGCAAAAAATTAAAGATGCCGGCTTCTTTCATAGCATTGCCACCGACCGCTGTCGGGTTTCTCGGAAAGAAACCTACTTCGCCGGGCGACAACTAAAATCCAGTTAATATTTTATTATAATCGATCCTGACGAATAAATGAATTTCATAAATGAATGCATTTTATAAATGAATGGTTTTTGCTGCCGAATTACTAGAATACAACATTTCAAGGCAGATGACGCATCTATTCGATAATTTTTATTCGAATAGTTTTCAACGAATGTTTTTTTACTAGCTATCGAATTATTCGAATGAATTGCAACTATCGAATGTTTCGATAGCATTCATTCGATAGTTCCCACTACTAGTAAATATCTACATACAGGGTGGCCCATCGAAAACGTTCCGCAGGCATAACGGCAAGGGTAATTTTTTTTTTCAGAAAATCCAAAAACACGCCAATCTTGTTTGTGAGGGGGACAACTTTTGCCCCAAAAATGATTGCAAAATCTTCAACCCTCTAAGCGGGGGTGTCATCCCCCAACTTTTTTCAAATGGGAAGGGGGGTCAAGTGGCACCGCAATGAAAAGTCATTGAGAAAATATGAAGGATTGAAATTTGAAAAGTTTATTTAAACATTTATCAGAGTAAATGATAAGGATAAATTCCTTCGACCAATTTGCTGTTTTTTCTTATTATTTCTAGATGTTTACGCATTTTTTCACTTGCCACAAGGTTGAACGATCAGGTGCGGTAGTTGCTAGATAGCTGTTCTGTGACTTGTGCGTAAGTTCTTCTCAATATCGTTAAACTTTTTAACAATTATGGTGTACTCACTTGCAGAAAAAGTAGATATAATCGAACTTTATTTTAAAAATAATGAATGTGGCAATCGGTTTGCGCAGATATTCAATGAACGCCATCCTGACAAACACCTTTATGGCAAAATTGTTCGCGATTTAGTAGCAAAATTTCACGAAACTGGTTGCGTTATGAATAAAAAGAGGCAGAGGGAAAATCCTGTAGTAAATGAAGCTATGGAGGTATTCGTATTGGGCCAAGTTGCCATGGATAGTACGCTGAGTACAAGAAAATTAGCCAATGAGACCGCGACCGGCGTGAATCGTACAAGTGTCCACCCACACAAAATTCAGTTGGTACAAGAACTCAACGAAGACGATTTTGATCGTCGCGGGCTGGTATTTTTGGAAATTCTATTGTGGGTCAGTTTAACGATATTGAGACCGTACCTGATCGTTCAACCTTGTGGCAAGTGAAAAAACGCGTAAACATCTAGAACTAATAAGAAAAAGCAGCAAATTGGTCGAAGGAATTTGTCCTTATCATTTACTCTGATAAATGTTTAAATAAACTTTTCAAATTTCAATCCTTCATATTTTCTCAATGACTCGACCGATTTTCAAAAACGAACCAGGGAAATATAGAGAATAGAAAGCTCTTTTCATTGCGGCGCCACTTGATGACACCCCCGCTTAGAGGGTTGAAGATTTTGCAATCATTTTTGGGGCAAAAGTTGCCCCCCTCACAAACAAAATTGACGTGTTTTTGGATTTTTTGAAAAAAAAATATCCTGGCCGTTATGTCTTGCGGAACGTTTTGGAACGATGGGCCACCCTGTGTATAAAATGCTAATGTTTATCTGTGTCGTCTCTACTGAAGTAACGACTTGCTCTAGAAAGTTGCTTTTTTACTAAAAGATAGCTAATTGGCTCTTCTAAAAACGTCGTCGCCGGATTTTTTGTTTTTCATTTAATTAAAAAAAAATAAAAAGTATTTTTTTTCCTGATGTTCGTGGGTTGATAGAAAACTTTAAAATCTATTTTTTAATGCCCCTGAAAATTTTATTTTAAACAAATTGTGTTCCTATATGATTCACAACCTTTATGCAGTGGCTGGCTATGGTACAGCTGCAAGTTCCATTTTTGTATCTAAATTCCGTCGTCTCTTTTAATTTTTGTCGTTTCTTTTCTTTTTTTGAATTTAGAGTTGTTTGTTGATATTTTCTATCTTGCTGTGTGTATATTTATTTATATATTTTTTGTATTTTTATATACTGTCAAGAAAAATGGCGTATCCGCCAGAAATTAAAAATGTATTACTGGTTGCCTGCACAACCGCAACGTATCCGCCAGAAATTAAAAGACTTTTTCAGGCGCCATCTTTTAGTCAAGTCGAGAAGTAAGGGAATCAGACAATGGAATTGTCTGGTATGAAGAAGTACGCTTTCCGAGAATTGGGGAAATTTCGAGAAGCAGTCAATAGAGTATATAAGCCGGAGCCATCGACAACTGAGACAGTTTTTGAAATTTGAATATACCGCGTGGAAATTGAAAATCGGACAATTTGGTGAAGGAATCTTATAAATAGTTAGTTTGTTGTGTGTTATAAGTTAGTAATTGTGTATAAAGTGAGAAAATAAATTCGTTAAGTATTTTATCGTGAGTTTAAATTAGTGGACCCACGGAATCCGTAACAATTGGTGTCGGAAGTGGGATTCAAGAGGATTTTAAGAAGAAATTAAGTGGAGTGGAAGATTTTTAGACCGAATTAGAGTATTTTTATGGTTAGTACAAGGAAGCAAGCTAAGAAAATGGAGGAAGTAAGCAAATTATTGGGCGGTTTTATGGAGAAATTAGAAAGAGAAAAGGAAGAGGAAAAATTACGACGTCAACAAGAACAGGACCGGCTTGAGAACATTTTCGAAGATTTGAAAATTCAACGACAACAAGATAAACAAGAAGAACAGGACCGGCTTGAGAAAATGTTGGATAATTTGGAAATTCGTTTGGAGGAGCGACGTCAGTGTGCGAACATAGTGCAAGCAGGTTTGCCGCTTTCTGGTAGCCAGCGCCAATCTGGGTACCTATTCTTGACATCGTTCGCAACTTTGCGTATACGCATCACGTGTATTGTTATAAACAGGGTATCCCAGAAATAAGTGCAAGTATTTTAACGGGTGGTAGATCTCGATAAAAGAAACACATGTTCTCTTTATCGTTTTTCAAATAAGTCCAAAATAACGGAGGGTATTATTTTACTTTGAAAATTTCCAAAAAAATGATTTTTTGCTCAAATTTTGAGAACCTTCTTCATGTGCCTTCTCCTCATCGGAGGTTGGCGACCATCAATTGGAATTCCTCCCTGTCTTGAGCCAAACGGATAAATGCACTTGCCTCTCCTATATTAAACCATGGCACTGGCGCAAATTCCGCATGCAGGAAAACCGTTTACGGCCGATGCCTCGTCGTCCTTCAATCTTTCCCTCAACTGTAGGAAACTATATTTGTTATTTCAGATCAGCTGTAGGAAACTATATTTGTTATTTCGAAAAATATGACCAAAATATGCTGCTTTTCGTCGTTTTATTGTAGTCAATAGTTCTTGGTCCTTACATATTCTTTCCAATACTTCGAGATTTGTTTGAGAACCACTGGATCTTTTCTGGATTTTCTTTCTTATAAATTTAATCTACTACCTATGTTGCCATATTATCAAGAAATTATTTTTTAAATAAAAACTAAAAAATTGCAAAAAATTCCAAAATATTTTCAAAAATTCCGAATTTTCAAAAAAAAATATTTAGAAAAAAACCTCATAGGCGTGTTTCTGGGGTTGAACTATAGTACCAGTTAAGTTAAAATACTTGCACGTATTTCTGGGACACCCTGTATATGGTTACATAGTAGCGCCGCGCCGCGCCGCCGCCGCCTCGCGCTTATAACCTTGAAAAATTAAAGCGTGTTATCAAATCGGCTAGTTCACAGTGAAAGCAGGTAGGAGCCGTCAACCAGCGTTCATCGGCGTTCTCGCTTTTACCGGAACGAAAATTTATTTCTTTCTGCCTTTGCAGGCGCCGACGGCGCACAGAGGGTATTAAGAACTAAAAGTTGGCCAAAATTATGTTTTATTTTTTTTTTGCTTTTTTGCTAGTAATATTAATTATTAGAGGAGAGGGTGCTAATATGGATATTTGAGCGAGGATGGGTGTTATAGGGTAAAGACTATTTCGTTTAAGAATCTATTTAAATCAATGTTTTTTTTGGCAGTGGCAAATATTGGCAAGATTTTTGTACATATTCCAAAGCTGGAGACTTTAAGCACTGAACGGATACTAATTTCCATGCGGAATATTGCCGAATAGTCTTACACCTTATAAAAATGCCTCTGATTTTTTTAAATATGAAACATTATAAAGAAATAGAATAGAAGGAAACGTTTCAAAATAAAAATATGGCATAAAACAGGACTTTCCAGCTGGCTCTGTATCCATCATGACAGTTATTATAAACAATTTGCAAAAAAAGCACTACAAACAATTCCACTATTTTATAATCTTAGAAATTTTCAGAATACACTCAAGATAATTCATACTTATAATTGAAATATATTATTTATTTGATAGTCAACTTACGACTTAAAAAAAGCTAATAAACGCGCTTACATTTAGTATTTATAGATTTGTATTCAGTTAAGATAAAAAAATGAAAATAAAAATATTTCACTTTTGGCCAGGTTTATAGACCAAATACCCCTATGTGCGGGTGCCGGCGCGGCGAGAGCGGCGTTTGGATATGGTTAGGTTAGGTTAGGTTAGTTAATCAGGTAAATTTTCTCTTAATTAACTACTTCCGAACCCTGCTCGCATCTCCGAAAAAGCCATATAACAATACACGGCATATACACAAAGTTACGCATCACGTGTATTGTTATATGGCTTTTTCGGAGATGCGAGATGTGAGCGATTTGTGGTCAAGAATAGGTCCCCAGAGACGGCGCTGGTTGCCGGAAAGCAGAAACCTGCCTCCACTATGTTCGTACCCTCAGAGAGAAAAGCAAGAAGAACAGGACCGGCTTCAGAAAATTTTAGAAAATCAGGAAATTCGACTTCACAAAAACTTCGAGGATATGAAAAAGGAACAACAAGTAATGTTGGAAGTACGTTGCCAGGAACAGCAAAATCACCTTCAAGAAGTCGTAGAAGATCTTGAGGAACGCCTTCAGTAGAAAATGGAAAAATTAGAGATGGACCTACAGAAGACCAAGGCACAAGTAAGAACACCTGGCGTTCATGGAACTGCGAACCTCAAGGCCCCGACCTACGATGGACAAACCACCTGGACGATGTACCACCGCCAGTTTGAAGCAGCGGCTGCTGCCAATGGATGGACTGACCAGGAGAAAGCAGCGGCACTTGTCATCGCGCTGCGTGGCCCTGCCCTGGAACTCCTGCAAACTATTCCTGCAGCCCAACAGCAGGAATACCAAACTTTGGTCGCTGCACTGGACAGAAGATATGGCGACCAACATCGACGCCAACTTTACCAGGCCCAGATCAAGACACGCATGCAGAGGTCCGGAGAGAGTCTGCAGGAATTTGAAGCAGACTTACGTCGGCTGGTACACCTAGCGTATCCTGAAGCACCGGAAGGATTTAGGGAGGAACTCGCTGCTCAGTGCTTTATCAGCGGACTGAGGGACAATGAATTACAGAGGGCGCTGCAAATATCGCGATTTTCTACCAGCAGCGAAGTACTCGTCAGGGCGCTGGAAATAGAAGCTGCATTTAGCGCCATTCCTAAACCGAAGATAGGCTCGGTAACGGTTGAGGAACAGCCAAAGAGTTCTCACATACGTTTGGAGGAGATGTTTAATAAACTATGTGAATTACTAGTGAACAAGAGAGTCAACAACACCCAGACAGAGAACCAAAGAAGATTCCAGGATATGAGGTGCTATGGATGCGGCAGGAATGGCCACATCAAACGAGATTGTCGCATCCAAATGCGATTCCATTCACCATCCAGAGAACATCGGCACATCGGAAGATCCCAGGACATAAGTTGCTATAGATGTGGCAGGAATGGCCACATCAAACGGGATTGTCGCATCCAAATGCGATTCCATTCACCATCCAGAGAACATCGGCACATCGGAAGATCCCAGGACATAAGTTGCTATAGATGTGGCAGGAATGGCCACATCAAACGGGATTGCCGCGTCCAAATGCGATTCCGTTTACCATCGAGAGAACATAGGCACCAGGAAATCAACACTAATGAGCGAGTATTGGCTGAAGAAAACAGAGCCCCTAGGATGTTTTCCGTTAGGAGTCTAGGAAAAACCGCTGACAGTTTGGTGATCAACGGGAAGGTCAATGGTAGAAGAATTCGAATGACTGTGGACACAGGCGCTATGGTATCGTTGGTGCGGACTAACTCGGTGCAAGGATTGAAGATGATGCCTCTTAGAAGAAGAGTGTATTTACGTACAGTTACGGGGAAATGGCCGTTGTACGGGAGAGGCTTTCATAGAACTGGAGTTAGGGAATTTGAAGTTTCGGCATAGCGTTTTAGTGGCAGACATTGAAGATGATTTTATCATGGGTATGGATGTGATCAGTCAACATGGTTTTTCGTTCGATCACCATAGAAACATCCTGAAAATCGGAAATGAGGAATTTTCTGTATCTAAAGAGAAGAGACCAGGAAATATGGAAAAAAGATCATCGAAAATTGTGATGATACCTGGTGATACCAAGAAGACTGTGTTCGGGAAACTAAAAACCGCTGGGTGCCGTGTAGGACGGGTACAAATTATCGACAACGACCTAGATCGACGACGAGCTACCTTGGACAAGAAAATGCAACATCGCGAAAGCACTATCAGAGTAAAGAATTTTAAACTGAGAACTGACGAACAATGGACGACGTTACAATTGAGGAAAGATCAAATGGAAGATCCAGACATCGGAGCAATACTACGGCTCAAGGAAGGTAACGGCGAGAGACCACCGTCGCAGGATATTGCGGACAGAGGGCTGGTTTTCAAAGCTCTCTGGGCTCAGTGGAATTCACTGGTGATTGAGAATGGATTGTTAAAGCGCACGTGGGAAAGTGCGGATGGCAGGACCGTAACAACTCAGTTACTGGTACCAAGGAAGAAAGTCACCCAGGTATTGGAAGAAATTCATGGTGGTAAAACTGGAGCCCATCTTGGGGTAAACAAGACCCTGAGCAAGCTGAGAGACCTTTTTACTGGGTGGATTATTGTGAAGATGTTAAGAAATGGTGTCAACGTTGTAAGATTTGCGCAGCTAGACAAGGACCAAGTACTCGATCTGGAGGAAAAATGGAACAAGATAACGTTGGACTGTCGTTCGAAAGAATCGTTAGGAAGGAAAGATTATTGGGAATTCATAAGGCCGTGAGAAGTAAGATTACGCTAGCCAGTGACCGGATGAAAGCTCGTTACGACCTCAGAGCTAATTCTACGGGATTTCAACAGGACGATAGGGTATGGTTGTATAACCCACAGCGCAAGAAAGGAAGGTCCCCAAAGTTAACTCCAGCATGGGAAGGTCCTTATACAGTCATCAAGAGGATAAATGATGTTGTGTACCGGATTCAACGCAGCCCTAGAAGTAAGATGAAAGTAGTTCATCTGGATCGATTGAAGAGATACCAGACAGGAAACCTTGATCGGGACGATCAAATTTGAGAAGGGGGCAATGTCAAGAAAAATGGCGTATCCGCCAGAAATTAAAAATGTATTACTGGTTGCCTGCACAACCGCAACGTATCCGCCAGAAATTAAAAAGACTTTTTTCAGGCGCCATCTTTTAGTCAAGTCGAGAAGTAAGGGGAATCAGACAATGGAATTGTCTGGTATGAAGAAGTACGCTTTCCGAGAATTGGGAAATTTCGAGAAGCAGTCAATAGAGTATATAAGCCGGAGCCATCGAACTGAGACAGTTTTTGAAATTTGAATATACCGCGTGGAAATTGAAAATCGGACAATTTGGTGAAGGAATCTTATAAATAGTTAGTTTGTTGTGTGTTATAAGTTAGTAATTGTGTATAAAGTGAGAAAATAAATTCGTTAAGTATTTTATCGTGAGTTTAAATTAGTGGACCCACGGAATCCGTAACAATACAATATGTCCCTGGATTGTCTTTACATGAGGAAAAACTTTTTCATTATTAAAATTTTGACAAAAATGCATACTTCATAAAAAATTTCGCTTCTAAAATGGTTAATCCCTGTTTATACTTTTCCAAATTTCCATACAGTTTTAAAATTTAAAAAAGGTGAAAATATGGTTCAATTTTTTCAAAAGTCCAAAAAATCAAAAGGATGTCAAAAGGCTATGGCAACGTAATTTCAATTTCATTCTTCGATAGATGGTTATTATTCATTTTAATTAACGTCATATTTTTTGCTGTTGTTAAAGTATCACCATTTTGCGATAACTTATTACTCTTTTCGTAGTATCGAACTAAATAAATTTTGTGCTTCTTTAACATTTTAAAACAGCAACAAATATGACGTTAATTAAAATTCTTTTAATAACAATCTATTGAAGAATGAAAACAAACTTATATTATTTTAGAAACGCGTTTTGATTTTTAAAAATTCCAGGATCTTTTCATGTTTTTATTAATTTCTCTAAAACGGTATGGAAATTTGGAAAAGTTTAAATGGAATTAACCATTTTAGAGCAAGCAAAAATTTTTATGAAAATTTCACACCTCTACTTTTCAACCAATAACATGCTTTAATGTTGACTAGTTACCATGGCAACTGAAAAAATTTCCAGAAATTTTTTCGAGGCGCCACGAAACTTTAGTGGAAATTTTTTGACAGTTGAAAAGGTAAACATAAGATCTACAATCATAATGTGAATGAACTACAATGTCTATATATTGAAATATTACCCATTTGAGTTTTAGCATTTGATGTAACTAATTAAAAATATAATAATATTTGTTAGTATTATTAACAAATTGAAATTATTTTAAAATGTCATGTTGGATTAATATTTTTTTTTTCAAATTTAGGTGTGAAATTTTCTTACCGAATACCACGCAAGCTTAAATTATTCCTGGAAATTTTCTTTCGGGCACGAATATTTTAGGAAAATTGTAAATAAAAAGGAAAATTTTCAAAATATTCGTGCCCTCAAAAAAATTTCCGAAAATAATTTAAGCTCTTGTGATATTATCAGTGAAAACGGCTTTTTTCTCAAATGTCAATTGTAAAAAAAATTAGGAGAGTTTGGTTTGGTTTGAATGTTGTATGTTGTAACAATAAATGTTGTGAGAAAATACTACAAATGATCATAAATCAAAACCCACTCACTATAACAGGAAATAACATTATAGTGTTTTTGGAATAGACTTTACTTTGAAAATATCATTTTTTTTTATTTGAATATATCGATAAAAGCATTTTTTAAAAGTGCATAGCTATTGCCCGAATGATTATAGATCATAGAAAATTAAAATTATAGACTATAAAAAATATTGAAACGACAATCTCAATCCAAAAATCGCCTATTGTGTTTTTCCAAACCAAACTCCTGGCTACCCTGTATTATCAAGTAATTAATATATTCTTTAAAAAATGCTAATCATATGTTTTTTTTTCAGGATTGATAATCTGTATAAGGGCTATTCTGCAATATTTAAGCATCAAAAGAGGTTGGCACATGCTCTCTGCTAGTCATCAAGAAAGACTCTTATTTTTCTATTAGATATTAGGCTTTACAAAGTTTTAGATATTGTTATTGTGATTTTATGTATTTCCTTATATTACATTAGATGTATAATTATATCATAATCATTCCTGTTTAAATAAAAATTAATTAACATTGTCACTAATAGTAACTGATTTAGAGAATATCATAAAAAATGGAAGATTGGTGATCTTCGAATTACACTGGTACAGAGATGAGTAGTAGGTCCCGATGGACACGAATCCAGAGAGACTGCTCTTCGGTGCCGGTATTGTAGAGCGTCAAATTCTACATAAAAATTGGTCGATATACTTTTTTTGCTCAAATCAAAATTAACCGAGATAGGGTAGCTAGAAGCTCGGGAACAGCTTTTATTGAATCATTTTTTTACCGTTGAATGAAATTTCTTACCGTTTCTCCGATATTTAAAAAAAACACTTTATTTATATTTTTCATCTCTTCTCGGGGTGAATTTAAAAAAAAATCTTAATTGAAATTTATAATTTTCCAAGCAAATTGAATAAAAATATATGAATTTTTCAGCAACTTACATTTCTACTATCATCCTCTAGCTATCTCGGTTAAAAAAATGTATAGAGATCAATTCTATGTAGAATTCGCGGAAGAACTTCTTTAGAAACGCTCCACAACTTTTATTTGAGCTTTTTTTCTAGTTCTTACCGTTTCTCTGAAATTTCGAAAAAATAATTTTATTTATATTTAGTTCACCCCTACTCTGGGTGAATTTAAAAAAAATCTTTCATAATTCGTTTTTAGATCTTTCAAAGTAGGTAACTCATATCAAAAATTCAAGTTTTTACCAAAACTTTGTATTTGAAGGCCTATTTTCTTGGATTATAAATCAGTAGGTATTGGAGAGTATTGGAATAAAGAGGGAATGCTGCTAGTTGTATTAACTATTTTTTATGTTTACTTTCGCGGAACCGTAACCGTATTCGAAATTATTTTGTATTATTTGAAATTTGTATCGACACCCTGTATATCTAATTGTGCTGTTAAACTGGAAGTGGCAGCACAATACCGTATGATCTAAAAAAACGGTGTCACGGTGGTTTGGGAATTATGACCATCAGTGACAATAGTGACATTCACCATATAATTTTACATGCAAAATGACATAGAGGTTGTATTAAAGAAATCCTAATTCAATTCCTTTTTTGTCATCATGTATATTTAAAAAATCAACATTTTAACGCTTACAGTTAATTATTCACATTTTCTTCATTTTGTTTAATCAACAATTTCGTTTCTTTAAAATGTGGGTGAGTCAGTCCGAAGTGGTGATTGTAGTTCTCTGAAACAATTCAAAAACAAAATAAAGCCCTAAACAACAGAAAAATTTTCTACTATAATGGGTGACCCACTTCAGCTAAAGGTAGGTTCATATACACGCGAATTGCGAATGTTGTTATATGGTCGATTTCAAAAAAATACATAGGCGGCAAAATTGGCAGAAAGTTGTTAATATTTTGCGAATTCGCGTAGCTTAAAATCTGGGGGCGGTAATATTGAAACTGGTTTAATTTTTGCGAATAGTCGCTGCGAATTTTGAGTTTTTAGATTATAATATGTCATCACTTGTGATTTATTAATCATCACACCGACATTGCGTCATGCGACGATATAAAGCGACGTTGCCGTAGTTACAATCAATTCATTTTTGTTTTGTTTGTTTCCTTTCATGTTTCTCTGTTTTATTTTTAAAATTTAATACGAATTTAACTGCTTGGAATGTCTTGAATTTGAAATTGTTGAAACTACGGCAACCTCGCTTAATATCGTTGCATGACGCAAGCTCGACACGGCAGCGCGACTCGGCGTCTCAAAGAACCAGTTAACACGCGGCACTTTTGACGAACGGTTGGCTGTCGATGGCATTGTCGAAATACATCGAAAAAATTGCGAAAAAACAAAATACGTATTTAAAATTGTTGAGTGAAACATGTATTATGATGAATAATTTCATTAAAGTTATTCCAAAATAAAGTTATTTTGCAGCATAACAAAGATTTTCGTAAACGTCATAAAGGTAATGTTTAAGTTAATATTCGGTGATTTTTGTTAAGTTTTCATTGAAACAGTAAGTACTAAAAATAATTAATGTGTTTTTTTTTAGAATTATTACTAATGAGCACTGATAAAAGCATTTTTAACATTCCTAATTTTTTGTGTAGAAATTTGTCTGCCAATTTATAAATATAGAACTATGTAGAATGTGGGTAACATAGGAGGTTGCAACACTGCAAGGTTTAGATAGACCGTAGAGAAATCTCAGGCGAATAAACAAGTGGCACTGAAATGTTTTTTAAAATTTCCCGGAAAATGTCAAGAAAAATTTTAAATTTTCAACAATTTTTTTCGCAAAACAACCTCATAGGCGTGTTTCTAGGGTCGAAATATACTATCAGTTAAAATACTTGCACTTATTTCTGAGACATCCTGTATATTATATCACTTACATTGAACTATTAAAATTTTCCCAGTTTTCAGGTGCCTTTTCTTGAGATATTGACGATGAAGTTTGAAATGATGATTGTGACATCCTGTAACAATACCAAAACAAAATAAATCAGGCAACAGACTAAACTTTTTTACACTATATTCAACTTTTACACTTTACTCAACATTTACACTTTACACAATAATAAAAATTACTAAACTAAAAAGTGTTTTAAGGTTATCGGTCCTACAATCTCCTACAAAAGTCTCGTTAATTACATCTCGTTTTATGTTGAGATATATTCCACAATACCAGTACCAGTTTAATATAGTGGTATTACATTACACTCCATTACAAATTAATGATATTTATTCATACTCCACATTTACTTATTTTTCTGAAGCCACCACAACGTTTGACCTTGATTGCTTTGTGCTATTTCAATAAATAGTAAGATAAACATAAGCCCGTGTTATAAAAATGAATTTCCACGTTTCCCGAAATAGATCAAGACGCGCCCTGATTGGTTGTTTGTTTTTATTGTTAATCTGGGTTAAAAATAAAAACAAGCAATAGAGCTTATATTTGAATTTACTTCTAAAAGTATTTCCATAAATGTTTTGCGAAATGTTACACGAAGTATTTCCAGAAATATTTCGTAAAACATTTCGGGGATAGTGTAAAGGCTCTTTTGCACTTACTGAGAGTTATCTAAGTTTTCTGTATCCGAGTTTTCATGTTCATGTTCTTGGGATTTAGGTGAGTATGTTCGTAAAGATGATTCTGGTACCCTGTAACAATACCAAAACAAAAGAAATCAGACAACAGACCAAACTTTTTTACACTATATTCAACTTTTACACTTTACTGAACCTTTAGACTTTTAACAATATTAAAAATTACTAAACTAAAAAGTGTTAAGGTTATCGGTCCTATTAAAATTATGTTAAACAAATTCTTTTTTAATCTCTAAATAGTCAAAAACCAACATCGTCTTATTTCTGGCTTGATTATAAATAATATTACACTTACCGAGAGTTGTCTAAATATTCTGAATCCGTGTTTTCATGTTCATATTTTTGAAATTTAGGTGAGTAAGTTCGTAAAGATGATTCTGATACCCTGTAACAATACCAAAACAAAATAAATCAGACAACAGACTAAACTTTTTTACACTATATTCAACTTTTACACTTTACTGAACCTTTAGACTTTTAACAATATTAAAAATTACTAAACTAAAAAGTGTTAAGGTTATCGGTCCTATTAAAATTATGTTAAACAAATTCTTTTTTAATCTCTAAATAGTCAAAAATCAAGCTCGTCTTATTTCTGGCTTGATTATAAATAATATTACACTTACCGAGAGTTGTCTAAATATTCTGAATCCGTGTTTTCATGTTCATATTTTTGAGATTTAGGTGAGGAAGTTCGTAGAGATGATTCTGGTACCCTGTAACAATACCAAAACAAAATAAATCAGACAACAGACTAAACTTTTTTACACTATATTCCACTTTTACACTTTACTGAACCTTTAGACTTTTAACAATATTAAAAATTACTAAACTAAAAAGTGTTAAGGTTATCGGCCCTATTAAAATGATATTAAGCAAATTATTTTTTAATCTCAAAATAGTCAAAAATCAACCTGGTCTTATTTCTGGATTGATTATTTATAATATTACACTTACTGAGAGTTGTCTAAATTTTCTGTATCCGAATTTTCATGTTCATGTTCTTGAGATTTAGGTGAGGAAGTTTGTAAAGATGATTCTGATACCCTGTAACAATACCAAAACAAAATAAATCAGACAACAGACTAAACTTTTTTACACTATATTTAACTTTTACACTTTACGGAACATTTAGACCTTTAACAATATTAAAAATTGCTAAACTAAAAAGTGTTAAGATTATCGGTCCTATTAAAATGATATTAAGCAAATTGTTTCAAAAAATTGTCAAAAATCAACCTCGTCTTATTTCTGCCATTCTTATTAATAATATTACACTTACTGAGAGTTATCTAGACTTCTTTCTAGGTAAGCTTAGTATCCAGCTTACCTGGAAAGAATAAACAGTAAAGGAACGTAAGCAAATAGATTTGAAAATAAAAGACTTATGGAGAATAAACTTCTTTTATATAAAACCATAATAATACATATGGAGCAGAACTCTGGGGATGCGTAAGTAAATCAAATATTATATAGCCTTAATACAAAAGAGTCAATCCAAAATTCTATGGATGATAACAGACGCACCATGGTATTATGTCTCTAATCATACTCTATACTCTACATGAAGACTGAAAAATTCTGCACGTCAAAGAAGTTATCCAAACTCGGAGCAAAACACATTTCAATAGACTACATAATCACACTAATACCTTACATCAGCCTCTACTTGAACCAGTACCTACAAGATAACTTAAAAGACAATGGCCGTCTGATTTGAAGGTTTAATGAGTATTTCGCTGGAGAAGACCTCGTCACCCTAATTGACAAGACTCACTCTGTATAAGCATGAATGCATTTAGATTTACAATTTTGTCATACCTATATTAAAATAACTTTTTTTCTGAGATGTGTAAGTTATGTCACTATATTTTATGATACAATAACCGATTGTTCTACACTGCATTAAAAAAGGTACAATGTGATAATTATATTCCATTTGGCAACATTGCCAGCACATTTTTTTATCATAAAAATTCTCTTCGCCTATACTGTAAATTATTAAAAAAGGATAAATAATAAAATGTATAAATACCGATAAAAGAACTGCTGGTGAAGCTAAAGGTGGCGAAATTTTTTATAGGCATGACACTAGTCCACTCACACTCAATTTCGATGCAAAATAAAAACACTAAATCACCACGATACACCAAAACACTTTTACTTTTACACTGGACGCGCGTTTCGCTAACCATGTTAGCATCATCAGCAGATGATTATAAACTAGTTTATAATCATCATCATCTGATTATAAACTAGTTTATAATCATCATCATTTTTTCAAGTTTTCAAAAAAAATTGGTGCCGGGAGGCACGTATTATAGCCGCCCATACTAGAATATGTTAATAAAAAGTTGGTAGGCAGTGCTTTTAGTTTCAAAGTACAGGAATTTTTTCCAATTTTGGTCAGCGGTTATTTCCCCTATCCGCCACCTGGGGTCGCGTCCGATGGTAGTTTGGTAAAGTCCCTAGATATATAAAGTACCGCAATTGGTTTGTTCAATGTTATTGGCGCCAATATGGCGGATTTTTGGGGTATTTCTGCAAAAACTGGTAGTGGTAGGACTGTTTAAATGTCATATTTGACTGAATTTGTCATGTCAATTGTTGAGAAGCTGTCAAATTCAGAATAAAAATATTTATCCACATATTTTAAAATAATTACAAAGCCACTAAAATGCTACAAATTTATTAGTTAATAATGTATAGGCGTCGATATCTTTAGTGAAGAAATGTGTATTACAAGAAAAGGCCGCCATTTGATGTGCTTTCTAACATCGTCGATATTCAATACACGTTAGGTAGTGGATTGAATTTATTTATGCTCCAGTGAATATTTTTAACAATCTTATTTGTAGTATAACCTATTGGTACATAAAACTTCATTATAGAACAAAACAAGACCACAATAGATCTGAGAAGGTCGCAGTGGGTCAGGCCGAGATCCACCTCTAGAAATCTAATCTAGAACAAGACAAAGACCTTACTTGCAAACTACCATACATATAATTTAAAAAGGATGCTAAGTAAGTAAGTTAAATCTCTACGAAGTTATTCCCTAAAATGTTTAGTGTAGTTTAGTTTTCAACATTTTGCAGTAAGAAGTTTAGATAAATCTACAATATATTATCATCAGACCAAAGGAAGGATAATTATTTAAAAGAATAAGTTATGTTATGATACATATATAGATTTGGATGACATCGCTTCAGGTGGTTTTACCCATATACGTATTATTTACAAATATACTCAGCCTAATCTCCAAAAAGTGAAGCCCAAACAGTGAAAGAGCAATATGGAATTATGCATAAGTCTATTTCACCCGGATATTCATTTAACTGCGCATGCCTCACCTGAAGAAGTTTTCATTGGTCGATATTTTTAAAGGGAAGTGGTTGACTGACATTTCACCTAACCTCTCAATTTTATTTATATTTTTATTATTTATAACACATTATCATGGAGTTGGAAAAATATCAAAAAATAGTTGGAAGCAATAAACTAAACAAAATCACTCTTTTACGCGCACAAATAAAAAGTAATCCAAATAGAACTAAAACAACAATCAATCGGAGTTTGGCGCAATCGCAGTTCAATCCATATCCGGGTGAAATAGACTTATGCAGTTTTAATATGGAGCTGGGTTATGTTGTCTTTCTCTTACGGCACAGAAACTGCACACGGGGTTAAATAGGGAACCCTGAGTATATTTGTAAATAATACTATATGGTTTTACCAGTCAGGACTAACAGGGATATTAATCAAAACAATGAAAAAAAAGCTCAAATAAATTTGATCCTAATAACAAGAATGTTGTTTATGCATATGCTAACTATATAGTTATTTTCATGGACTTAAATAGATTAGTTTCTATGTATTTATTGATATTAATTAATATTTTTTGGTTCATATTGTAATTACTAATAAAAAGTTAACAATATAATGTAAGCATGTAAAGTTATATTTAAAAATTTGGTCTTATACTGTCAGTTATAAATAAAAGTGTGTGATTTAAATTTGATTTTTATACATGACATAAAATTGTTAAGATTCATTTGAAGTTTTACATATTGTCGAGGTAAAATTATGCCTACTTAATTTATGTATAACAATAATTACGTTATTTCAATGTTAAATTTATAGCAGTATAACTTTTTTATAATAATGATACTTAAACATTATGACACTTAATGACAAAATATACCATTAAATTGCAGAGCAAAATATATTTTACTTGTACTATGTGGTATTAACTTCTTTTTATTCAACTAATAATAAATTTGTTGTATAAAAATCACTCCATAACATACAAACCTTAATTATACAGCATACATTTTAAATTAAGTGCACAATTACATACCTAAAATGCCAAAACTATCTGAAGTAATACTAATTGAAACAATCTTTCTATCAATATATTAATATATTCCAAAAATAGCAGGTATGTATCACATCAATTTAATTATTACATTTATTTGTTTCAACCATGGTTCGAAATTTTCTAGTATAAAAGCCGGCCTTCATATTTAAGTTTGTAGCTTATTCCTAGATTCATAGTTCCAAAGACTTTCGTTAAATCATGCTTATTTGTCAAAACTCACTATAGCATAACTGGTATAATAGGGAAAGTTTACTTATTGTATAGGTATCCCGTTCTCATCAACAAACAAAGCTTTTCCAATTGTTTAGACTGAATTAAGTACTAAAATGCTAAATGTTATTCCAACTTTATTTCTTCTTACCTATTAACTTACTTCTGTTGGCGTACTTTGCGTCAAAAGGTAACATAAAATAAATGCTAATATAAATGAAAAACACTTGTACGGAAACCATTCGTTTATAACTTCTTAACATATATAAACTGATATTACGTTAAAATGAAGGTGAACTGTAGATAATAAACGTAATTCTATTACAATTAATAAATATTTTATTTTACGGCATGCCTGTCAATGTTGGTCGGCCATATTGGCGCTGCACAGTGCTTCGAACATATGGCTCTAGAGGACAAAAATCCAAAACTTCTCTTTTATTGTAAGCAATTTATTCAAACTCGGTTTATTTGACACAAATGATGAGTACTCTCATTGTACTAAATGATGATGTTCTTAGTCCCACGTTTATGAAAAAAAAATCTTATAAATAATAATAATGTTGGAGCTGTGTTCCATCTAAGCAAATAAAAGTTATAGTATGAAAACGGTGTAAGTATTAAATAAATTCCTGTGATAAAAAAGAATTGAAATAACATTAGAACATGATTCCTACAATATAAGCCTAATATAAGATAAAAATGTTTTTCTTTAATGAAAAAGAAACATTAATGTTATATTTAATTAAAAAAAAAATTAAGATGCTATAAATTTACTTTAGGACAACAAAATGCATAGATCGTAACTACTCTGATTCAGGAGAATCACTGCTGACAGAATCTTCTAAATTTATAGTATCTAAATCACAGGTAGATGAAGTATCCTCACATATAAGATATTTCTGTACATCATTTTCTAATATGTTACTTTTTCGCGTTGTTACTGTTCATTTTGTCGGTATGAGGGGTTCGGATGTTAATAGTTACCTCTTTAATAGACCATATGCATATATTATTTTTTCCTTTTCTTGGGTATGAGATTTTATAATAAACTGAAAGATGGACACTTTTTTTATTCGACGTTTCGCTCCAACATAGTGGACTTTTTCAGGCACAAGTGGTGTCTCATTTGACTGGAAGGTTCATCAATATCTAATAAGAACATATTTTTTGAAATACTAATAATTTTGAGTTCTTGTCCTTATGATCAAGCCAAGTATTAGCCAGATCGGCATTGCTTATCAATCTTACTCCATCTAAAAGTATTATAAAATAAAGTTCGTCGCAAGCAGACGCAGGTGAACTATACAAAAATTAAAAGTGTATGAATATGGCAACAAAAATATTCAATAAATACGATATGTTTTGATATGTTTTTTTTAATGCCTTTTTGAAGTTTGAAAACGTAAAATTTTTATACCCATTTAAGAAACATCTTAAAAATAAATAAAAACTAAACAATAACGAACTTGTTTAGAAATAAATTTAAAGTACTTACCTTGTTTAACAATATCCATAGTGGCTTTCAATTAAGTACGTACCCGTTTAACTCCGTAATATACAGAATTACTATGAATGTTATTCTTTTCACTGATGAGATAATGATCGCAAAATTTATTTTTAGTGAAAATATTTGCTAACAAAAACGCTGTTTATGAAAAATAATATACAGGATGGTTGAACATTGCTATAAGTATAAAATTATATATTCAGATATTAGTAAATTTTAACTTATTTTTTGATTTTTGTCCATGGGACGAAGCACTGTGCGCTGGACCGACCAGCTGCTTAAAAAGCCGAAACAGCGAAATGTTGGCCTCCTTTTTAAATTTTCCGCTATTTTTGGCGCCAATATGGCGGTAATTACGGTACTTTATATATCTAGGGACTTTATAGTTTGGAGTTTTCCACACGGATTTTCTTTTTTTTTGTTTTTTTTTAATAAGTTTTATATATTTTTTTGAGATTTTTTATTTTATCTCAAAAACTGCGACTTTGACTGATTTTGATTTTATTACAAATTTTGTTGCAAATATTATTCCTAATCTTAAATTGAAAACCGCGTTTCGCTAGCTACTGTAATTTTGGAGTTCCGATTTTTTAAAATTTTTAACTCCCTCCCATACATCCTTACCAACCCCCCACACCTACCAAAAACTAATAGCTAGATTCTCGGGTGCCACAATATTTTTGTACCAAATTTGGTTAAAATCGGTTTAACGGTTTTTGAGTTATTGTGTTAGACGGACAGACAGACACCATGAAAATATTTTGTATTTAGGTCATTTATGACCCAAATAACCCATTTTGAGTGAAATCAAAAAAAACTTTTTTTTTGCCGATCTTAATAGCCTACCATACCTGTTGGTATGGTCGGCTAAAAATATTATTTAAGAAGCTGTTTTTTATAAATTACCAATATTACCGGTAACATTGCCGATTTATAAATTACCGGTAATTTTACATCACTACCCAAAACAAACCTGTTTCGAAAATAACAGATCCTGTTGCAAAGCATCATCATTAACTTATATCAATTTTTAACATGTTTCAATTTATATTAGGGTATCTCCATCATTAGCTCACACGTTAAAATACAGACCAGCGATTTAAGATCTTTATACCCAGGCTTGCAAATTAAAAAAGAAATGTAACACTTACCGGGAGGTATCTAAATTTTCGGCATGTGACTTTTCATGTTTACTTTCTTCGTAAATTGACGAAGGTGGTCGACTTGACGATTCTGATACTCTGTAACTATTCCAAAACAAAATAAAATATTACCAAGGTGTATGGCGACATCTGTCGGAAAAGCGTAAAACCACTAAGCGTGTTTTTATTGTCAAAAACGTGGCGATATCTCTCTCGGAGAATTAAAGGGTGCGCCATCTCTTAGACACTGGTGGAAAATCCCGATGTTTTAAAAGAAATTTCTTGATTATTTTAAGATTTTGCGTAAAATTCTATAAACTTCTTCTAAATATTTTATAACCAAAACTATTATAATGATACAAGCAGCGTAGTTAAGTTATCAAGAATTAAACAAAGAACTACATATATATCTTGGACAAACCACAGTTCAGTTTCCCTTAAATTAAGTCTTAAAATCGATAATTATACAGACCGTTTCAAAAAATATGTGCCATCAGCAGGTGTAGCTACAGGAGGTTAGCTTATAGGAAGATTTTTCATATTTTTTGATGAGAAATAACTTTGGCCAGTTAAAGACATTCAAATTTGTTAAAGTTGCTATTAGATTTGAATTAAGGCAAATTAATAAAATTGTCTTTATCTCATCAAGGAGACTAAAATCGACAAAATATCGAAAGATAACTTTTAATCGCCATTAAAGGGTTACACGAATGTGCTAACAAGAGGAAAGAGTCAGTGGCGTACAGTTTTTTTACAAAAATATTTTAGTGACAACTCATATGCACGTACCTGATGAATCTGTCGACAATTTTTAGCATTAAAATCAAAATTTCAAAAGCACTTGGAAGAAAATTATAAAAACTAGCGTGTACCAGCGACTTCGTTCGCGTCGAATTAATCATTTGTAATGATGATGATAAAGCAAAGCAAGAATTTCCATTAACATACAAACTGGATAAAATGTTCTCACATTTATGTCAGCATGAGAAAAAGCCAATATGGCGATATAATTATATAACTTGGTAATATTTGAGGGGTAGTTTCATCTCGTCGGAATTTGACTTTCCAAAAATCCGTTTGCCAAAAATAAGCTTTTTACATCAAGCAGTTTAAGCAGAATCGTGGTTAAGAAATTACCCAACTTTTTGGAACACCCTGTATGATTTTTTAAAAAATTTCAAAATATGTAAAAAAACCAAATAAATTATGCTTGTCCCAGCGTTTTCACGAAAGACTAACCGTTTTTTAAATAACAAATATTGTAATATTTGAGGGGCGTTTTCGCCCCCTTGGAATTTGAGATTCGAGAAACCCCTCCTTATCGAATCTCTATACCCCACAGTCAATCCGTTTGCCAAAAATCAGCTTTAAACGTCAAGCAGTTTAAGCAGAATCGTGATTACTCAATGGTCATATTTTATGAAACACCCTGTATAAATTTATAAAAAATCTTAAAATATGTAAAACAACAAAATAAAATATACGTATTTTAGAGTTTTTCCGAAAAACTCACCGATTTTTAAATAAAAAAAATATTTTAATATTTGACGGATAGTTTCACCCCCTTAGAATTCGAGTTTCGAAAAATCCCTTCTTATCGAACCTCTACACCCTAAAGTCAATCTGTTTTCCAAAAATCAGCTTTTTACAAGCGCTTTAAGCAGGATTGTGAAAATCTTATATATAAAAAAATCTTATGAATAAAAAAAACAAAATAAAATATACGTGTTTAAGCGTTTTTTGGGAAACTTGACCGTTTTTTAAATAAAAAATATTGTAATATTTGAGGGGTGGTTTCACCCTCTTGGAACTGGAATTTCGAAAAATCCCTTCTTATCGAAACTCTACACCCTAGAATCAACCTGTATGCCAAAATTGAGCTTCTTACGTTGAGCAGGATCGTGATTAATCAGTATGTCAGTCACTTAAGGATTTTATATATTAGTATAGATAAAAAAAATAAGAATTTAACCTCCTGTAGCTACGAAACAAAGCAGAATCTGGTCAGATTCTGCTCTGTTTGTATAATGGCGCATGTTTATTGAAACACCCTGTATATGTTGAATAACATCTTACCCATTTTCCTCCAATATACCATTTAAACTAGAAGCTAAATTTCTTTCTTTGGTATGAAAATCATCAATATTTCCACTTTCTTGTGAACTTAAAGAACTACTTCTCTTCTTCAACTTTTTGCTGCGTAAAGGTCGTCGATAATTGGATTCTATTTCTGAATCGGAACTAGAACTATCTAAAGTATTATTGTCTGTTGGTATTCTTGAATTGCTAAAAGGAATTAAATCAATTTTATCGGTGTGTATTATAATCTATTTCGAGTGTGTGGTGTGTATTATAACGGCACGCAATTGCGCATTCTAGAGTGCCAGGGGTGTGTTTAAAAACACTAACTTTTAATCAAGGAGCCTCGGTAAAATATATAAAGTGATCGTGTAATGTTTTTCGTGTTTTGTCCTGGCCGTTTAAAAGATGGCCAAATCGTATTTTTAATCCGATCTCAATTTTTTCAAATGGAACAAGGGTGGCTTATTAGCATATTCGGAAAAAGCATTTTTTTACGAATAATTTGGTACCACATACTTAGTATTTCGAATCAAATTGTCGTTATGAACCATTGCCTGGAAACTATGGTGAAATTTTGATAAAATAATTTAGTACTCACTAAAAACACGGTATGTCGCTAGTGGTAGGAAAAATAATTTTTAGAGGTTACTAGTTTATTTGGTTGCCTGTGATATGCATATACAGGGTGTTTCCTAATTAATCTAAAAAATAAAAAATCGTTAGAAAACGGCTTAAGGCGGGCTCTTAATAAGTATATTTATTTTTTTCTCGGCAACCGTTTGATGAACAAGAAAAACTCAAAAGATCAATTTTGTTGAAAAAGGATGGCCAGACAAGAAAAAAAAATATTTTCTTTAAAAAAGCAGTAGTGTACCATTTATGTTAAGCAAAATATTGATTTTTTTTATATTTTTAACACCCTGTAGATCAGAAAGGAAGTACTTTAGACCCAATGGATATATAAAAATTGTTTTAAGAACACATGAGGAATCCATTCCACCACAATTTTTTAGACTAATTAGAAAACACCCTGTATATTGTCAACTTGACAATGATTGTTGATAAATCAAAAAATACCTTTTCTGTGAAAAAAGCCCGATTTTCGCAGGAAAAATTTTGGTTTTTATTGAATTTCGGCCTGCGTCTGCAAATACCGGTATGTTTTTTAATATTCTATCTATCTAAATTTTAAATATCAAAGTCAGAAATAGTTTTATTATTTATTAACTGTAAAAATGGTATACTTATAAGTTTTATCAAATATTGTGATTTACTTTCTACCTTGTAGTCAAAATTTATATTTAATAAACTGTAAAATATATATATATATATATATATATATATATATATATATATATATTCTTATGTTTTATTAAAGTTACTCTGATATACTAATATATCAGTGTAACTTTAAAACTAAATCCTTTGAAATCAAATATAAACATAAAAAATATTTACAGCAGAAAAGGCGAAGGCGCTGGGTTAAACGTAGTCTCTACTAAGAACACGGAGGAGCGCTTTGACCCAAAATTTTACTATTAAGTTTCATATCTATCTTAATAGAAGATTATTTTCTTTTATCTATGGTTATGAACCGCATGTTACAATTTCAAATAAATCATATGCGAAAATGTCAAAGTTGACATAATATGACATGTCATTCTATTAGAGTATCATTTTCTATCGAATAAAGTAAAAAAAAATACCGAAGGTGCCATTTAAAAATCAAAAGTTGTAGTCAGTTCCGGTGAAACAGGAAGTGACCAAAAACAACTGAATACGTCAATCAATCCTAATTTATGTCTTAAGGGCCTCACAGTCTTCGTTCTTTTTTGTCATTTTTAATCGCCGCGATTAACAAAGACTATTAAAACTGATAGTCTGTGTCACAACACGGATATCATCACCGTCGGTGAAAACTTCTGCCTTTGCTTGAAATCTTAATTGTCGGTTCGTCCATGTTCGTGAAAACCGACAATGTGTGCGCCGTTACTGTTTAATCAGCGGTCTTTCACATTGGTACACGTGTACATGTAGCGTTATTTATTATGTTTTTGCCTCATTTGTATGGTTGATTCTATTAAGTTTGTAACTTTTTCAAAAAAAAAAAAATATTTTAATCAACATGGACTTAAATAAAGAGTGTTTAAATACAGTTTGTAAACGTTGTCTTTAGGTCTTTGCCTGGTTATGAAAAATTAAGACTGATGATTACAAAAATCGCGACAAAAAAAATAAAGTTTACGAAATTCTACTTGAAAAAATGAGGGAGGTGGATGTGGAAGCTGGAAGCTTCTCTACAAAGTGTAAAAATAAAATAGACTCTTTTCGTAGCAATTTCCAGAAGGAATTAAAGAAGATGAGAGATTCTGGTATCTTTTAAATAACCAATTTTTAGCTTTTTTCTATTTTTCTGCTTTTTTACTTTTAGTGTTGCTATCGCTGCCGCCACTGCAAGTAAATCGACGTGTATCATGTTGTTACCGTTTTAAACTGACGTAGTGTGTGTGCAAATACAGTTTTAATTGTCTAGTCCAGCAGTGTTAATCGACGATTAACAGTGCTAAAAAACAACGAGGTCTATGACCACCTTTAGACCAACATATCAAATCTCGTTTTTTTTTAATCTGAAAAAATAAAAAAGTTATAGGGAATGATCCACTTTTGAGACGCACGCGGTTTATGAAGCAGTCACTTGTCATTCAAAATTTAAATACATTAATTTCATGTTATGCGTTCCAATTGTACCAAATTATTTCTCTGTAATATAAAATAAACTTCTTTGAAATTAAAATGACAGACACATCTATCACTGTGAAGGATTTTGTCGTTGGACAAACTATACTCCCCGGCACGAAATTCCGCCACCCTAAAAATTTGACTAAGTTTGATGTTTCATAACTTTTTATTTTGTAATCCGATTTTTATAATTATGGTATCAGTATGAAGATAAATTTGTTGGCAATATTTTTTATTATTTTAATGGCTTATATCACAGAATATCTAGCTACGCAACAGAAAAATACTCGAAATGAAAGAGCTAAAATTGCACAAATAAAATACTAGATGGCGCGACAATATCATAATCAGAATATAATTGGAAATTTTCAATTTTCGGTTTTGGATCGACGGCACGTCGACGGCCTTGAACAACCTTGAAGCTCGGCTAAATATGTACAGTTGCCAGATTCAAAAAGACTTTAATTGGCATCCCATTCTTTTTCTGGTGTATAATAATTTCTTTCTATTCTTCGTTTCTTGTCAGATACACTTATATTAACTATTCGTTTGGCTTTGAAAATAGTTTTAAATGCTAACTAAGAAAATAACTTTTTAATTACCTTTAAAATTAATAATATACAGGGCGATTGATAGTGATATTTATTAATTCTGAAACGTTAGTAATGAAATATACGTTTAATAATAATGGAAATAATTTATTAAAATGCAGTATAAAAAATGTTAATTGACTAAAAAAATACTATAATAACAAATTTCTTCTGTTTACTACGTTATTTATATACACCTACCTAGGTAGATTTTAAAAAGTGACACAGGTACAATAATTAATAATATATTAGTTCGGCATAAAAGTTGCTGTCGCGACATCGTACAATAAATTAAAATTTGTAAAATAAATTATAATTATTAATTAAACAGATCTTTATAAAGAAACGCAAGTATACCAAATTTTGGCCCAATCGAACTACAGGAAATGATATCATAATATTGTACTCTATTATGGTACCACTCGATATGCTTCATAATATTGCAATGCACCGAAGATCCGTAGTATAGCAAACTAAAGCACAATCGAACGCCAGGAAATGGTATCGTAATATGGTACTATAGGTAGGTACCACTTTATATGCATCATAGTACCATCATATTACAATGTCATCGAAGATACGTAGTATATACCAAGTTTAAACCCAATCGAACGCCAGGAAGTGGTATCGTAATATGGTACTACATTATGGTACTTCTTGGCTTCATGGTACCATAATTTTGCAATGTCATCAAAAATACGCAAGTATAATCAAATATGAGCGAGCCCAATCGAACATCAGGAAGTGGTATCATAATATGGTACTATATAGAAGGTACCACTTTATATACATTATAGTACCATCATATTACAGCGTCACCGAACATACGTAGCATACAAAGTTTAAGCCCAATCGAACGAAAGGAAATGGTATCGTAATATGGTACTACATTGTGGTACCCCTTGATATGCTTCATGGTACCATAATATTGCAATGTCATAAAAAATACGTAAGTATAATCAAATATGAGTCCAACTGAACGTCAGTAAGTGGTATCATAATATGGTACTATAGAAGGTACCACTTTATATGCATCAAAGTACATTGTCACTGATCATTACAATGTCACCGATCACACGTAGTATACAAAGTTTAAGACCAATCGAACGCCAGGAAATGGTATCGTAATATGGTACTACATTATGGTACCCCTTGATATGCTTCATGGTACCATAATATTGCAATGTCATAAAAAATACGCAAGTATAATCAAATATGAGTCCAATCGAACGTCAGGAAATGGTATCATAATATGGTACTATAGAAGGTACCACTTTATATGCATCAAAGTACATTGTCACCGATCATTACAATGTCACCGATCACACGTAGTAACAAAGTTTAAGACCAATCGAACGCCAGGAAATGGTATCGTAATATAGTACTACATTGTGGTACCCCTTGATATGTTTCATGGTACCATAATATTGCAATATCAAAAAATACGCAAGTATAATCAAATATAAGTCCAATCGAACGTCAGGAAGTGGTATCATAATATGGTACTATAGAAGGTACCACTTTATATGCATCAAAGTACCATCATATTACAGTGTCACCGAACACACGTAGTATACAAAGTTTAAGACCAATCGAACGCCAGGAAATGGTATAGTAATATGGTACTACATTATGGTACCCCTTGACATGCTTCATGGTACCAAAATATTGCAATGTCATCAAAAATACGCAAGTATAATCAAATATGAGCCCAATCGAACGTCAGGAAGTGGTATCGTAATATGGTACTATATTAAGGTACCACTTTATATGCATCATAGTACCCTCATATTACAATGTCACCGAAGATACTTACTATACCAAGTATAAGTCCAATCGAACGCCAGGAAATTCAATTACAATCAAACGTTACAA